ATTCAGAGAGCACAATTAAGATATATTAATATAACAAGCAACTATATGTCAATTGAGCCATCTGAATTGTAGGAGAGCATCATCTTTGCCTATGCTAATGCAAGGTAAAGCATGGTTGCTTAAATCTCTTTCCTTCTGATTCACAGTACACTAGAATGTCTCACAAGTGGGGCCAGCAAAATACATACACAAAGCCAGCTGCAACAGCACAGCCACAACATGCCCACTTGTTACTCCATATAACTTCATTGCGTGTCTGTGCCCTAAAAGTTAAGCAACCAGGCTAACCCTTGGTGAAATTACAGCACCAGCAAGACTAGACTTACCTGCAGAAACCTGTATCTTCTAACAAAACTCCTAAAGTCTTATTTGGGAAATTTAAGGCAAACTTCAACAATACAGAGCGATGTTTTGAAAGCAGATTTATTCCTCACTATTGAAAAGCAAAATTAGGAGTTGCTTAGCTGTCAACCTTGAAGATCACTATAAATCTTGTGGAGAAACTGCAGCTCCTATGTGAAGAATTACTGATACATGAGACCTAATGTGGGTATTTAAGAAAAGAATATAACGACCTTTCCAGAAAGCACATCATCTGACAATCACACAAAACACATTTTTCATGGGTTGCTCTGATCTGGCATGTTCAAGAGGACTGATTTCCAGCTGGGTTTTAAAACATATCACAAGCTCCACATACCAAACCAACTGCTGCTGAAACTGCCAGTGCTTAGGGTTTTGGGTTTTTTTTCCCCCTCAGATGGGCTAAGAGGTCTTAAACTGGACATACAATAATCCACCCCTAAGCAGTGGTTATTTAAAACCCACATCTCCTCTTTCAGCAAAGGCTCTGAAGCAGCTGGATCTATCTGCTCGCCGAGAGATCAATACGGCTTTTGGGATACCTAAAGGAAATTTCCTCCTGCATAATGAAAGATTTGTGGCAGCGGGAAGCATTGCTGCCTGCTCGCCAGCCCAGCGGAAGACACAGCTAATGGTGGAAACACAAAAGGACACTTGGCAAAAGCAATCGATGACAAGCCTAAGAAAAAGGCAGTCTCGCTATGTCGGCCAGTATTAGGAGCTGTAATTTCTCCACGAGGAATCAAACGCAGCCGACAGTACTCACTTCTGCAAGTTCTGAGTTTCAGCTCATGATGCAAGTGGAGAATGAGACTTTTAAGAGATTACTGACTGATGAGTGGATGTAAAGTTGAACGAGTCTTGGATTATGGACCTATTATGGAAGTAGTTATTATGTCTGCTGTGCACCTGAATACTGTCACATAAATATCAGGTACACAAGATGCTCGAATTACAGAACATGAGGTTCCAGTAATTTTATCCCCTACTTTCTTTGCCATTAACAATGTGATTTACAACCAGATTGAACATCAGACAATGCATGATACTGTTAAAATAAAATTTAAAAAATAATTTCTGTGCATTTTTAAACACAGTAAGAGAAGCCAGGCTTGATGTTGCAGTCCAAGGAGCTGCATGGGCACGTAGCCTAGGGGGACCTTTCCAACACCTGCCTTTCCCAACACAGGCAAGTTCTCCTTTGGCCTCGTTCACTAATTAAAAGTCAGATCCTGGCTCAGAGAGGAGGTGCTCAGCCCTTAAGTGGTGAGTCACGGTGGCAGTTAAATATGCCCAGAACCTCTAATGACTCATGGGTCAGGTGAGAGGAGCAAAATGATGGGGAGCAGCAATTCTCATTTGCATGTGTATTTTACACCTTCTTGGTTCACTGTCCTCACGAAAGAGCAAAGGCAGCCAAAATCAGTGATCAAGTCAACGCTTTGGCCTGACCGGAACAGGTCCCAGAGGAAGATACATTTCTCTGGTGTACAAAAATCTGACATAGTGAGTCTTTAGCAGTAATTACAAATCTCCTCCTAAAGAAGGCAAGTCCACAACCTTGCTTGAGAGACATCCAGAAGCGCACTAAAATCTCTCAAGTGGTGTTCTCAGCAGATAAAAAAATTAAAACTTCTTAGTCTTGTTGCACACTCTCTACAAAACAAAGATCCCCTCTGGCTCTGCAATTTTTTACCCATTCCTTGGCCAACTTATTTCTCAAGCATACCAAAGCACCTCAAGCAAAGACTTCTGTCTGAATAGCCTAAAAAGTGTTTATTACCTCAGTAGGGAGGTGCTGCAGAAATACTAAACACCAGCAACACTTTCTCAGGGAAGTCATTTCCTTTCTCCACTCGCAACAGTCACTAGGAAAGCCCAGAGGTTTATCCTTTTAAAAATCACACTTTTGGTTGGCAAGTTCACATATGTAAATACAGTGACTTCTACATTCGTTTTCTGTTCATGCATCCATAAAACTCAAAATCTTAACTCACTTCAGGTCTTGCTCATGCAAAAAGGATCTCCTACCACTTTATAAAAACAGAGGTATAAAGGGAGCTCTTCACACCCCCCAAGTCAGCTGCCCAGTTTACCTGGGAACAGTTTAAACCAGCAACCTAGCTTACATGCTCTGAGCCATCCCACGAAGATCCTGCTCTCTCCACTGACTATAAACCCACAGTTTCAGACTTAGTTATTCAGCAGCAGCTGGTTAGAGCAGTGCCCCACTTCCCTGAGACAGATCACTAGGCCAGATTCACCGTAAGAATTCACTCCGAATCTGTAAGGAAGCCATAAGGCAACGCAGAACATCAGCCGGAGTCCAAGGACCAACACAGTTTGAGGACTTATTTCTTTAGTCAGACTTGTAGTGCCAGTTCCTGGCAAGGAACAATATATAACTCTGTGGCATGCTGCGGTCATACTCTACTGCCTGAAACTGCAGAGTCACATCCTTTTTATCAGATTAACTGGGACCAGAAGCTGCAAAGGGCTGATCAAGAGAAAATATTATATGAAGAAAATTCAAAACTACATCAAGAGAACACCAGATTGATGTTCAGTGCTGCACAATTCAGATCGTATAGGTGAGCATATCACTATCACTGGACGGCACAGGACATAGAAGCAGAGCTCAAGTTCAGGACAAAGTAAAGAAATGACTGGACAAAAGGGAAAAAATGTGCTCGCAGTTAGGTGGACTGAAGCCTATACAGATAGATGCTGCACTGGTTTAATCAAAGGTCATGCTCAGAAAGACTTTTTAAGAAGTATCCCAGCTGAAGGTCTTTTTCCTCAATAGGGAATCACTGTACAAAATGTAAAATTAACTAATGATTTCACAAGGCCACCATAATGGCTATCAAAATAAGGGGCAAGAGAGACCAGATCTCAGGTTATTACCTAACGCAGTGCTCATGATATGAAACAAGTAAAGTATTGTCAGTATTCCCCACGTAGCAGGGCCTCTGTCAGTGGAGGTAATGAGGGAGAAAGGCTGAATCCTCATGTACAAAGAGAAATAAACTCAATCTTGACTGTTTATTCCAAGTGTCATTGATCATCTCAAAACAGTACTGCAGTGACACAGTACAACTAAATGCAAAAAGCACAAAAAGTAAAAGGTCTGATTCATCTTGAACTCAATTTTCTCGCCTCTAGAATATTTAGGAAGTGCAACTTGAATAACTCCCACATACCTCCATTTACTAAGCATTTAAGATGTATTTTATGTTAAAAATATAAACCTTTATTTATCTGCTGGAAAAAAAACCCAACCAAACCACAAATTGTTAGCGCAGGTTTTCTCACATTGCTCAATCCACGTGCTTGCAAGGCAGTACACTGACTTCAGAGTCGCTTCATTTTTGCATGCACTTAAAATTACTTGGTCACACAGTCTGTGTCATAAATAGTTTCCTCAATAATCTGCAAAGGACAGGCTACTGCAAAAGCAATTTTGGGTCTGATAAAATTAGGTAGACACCTGCAGCAGAAAAAATACGAAATAACCACATCCTAAACCACCTGATGTACATATAAACACAGCACTAATTTGAATAGACGATCTGCAAACTCCACCCTCCTTCCATAATGAGCTGTGTGCTTCTGTGTTCACAACCAGGGCACTAGAGCAAAAGAAAAGCAATTCTTTTCCCAACCTGTTTGTGATTTTATCTTGATAAAATCCATTTGGAAAGAGCAGCATAGCACTTTTTGTCTGGTCTTTGCATGACAAGGAAAAAAAAAAAACCAAAAACCAAAACCCACAAAGAAAACCAACAAAGTGTTTGCTGCCCTCCAGAGGAAAACCAAATGAAATTACAGATTTAAAATACGAAGGTAGACACGAAGCTAGACAAGGGCTTGTCCTACCCAGTTTTAAAATCTTTCTTCAGTAGGTGATAATGATATCGAGGAAAAATCCACTGCACTCCGTAAGACAAGGTAGCAAACTAAAACTGTCAGTAGAGATGCTCACATAGTTTTAACAGCTCCAAAATAGCAAATCTCTCATTTTTCTTCTCAGTTTTATACTGCAAAATGCACTGAAAAGTTATGTATTTAATGACCCCAAGCACACGTAAATCCATCAACCTCTGATTTTCAGTTCATTAACTATAAAATGAGAAGAGGAGCATCTCCCTGTCACAAAAATACTGCAAGGGTAGCTGCGTTTGAGACTGCAAGGGGATCGGAGATCCTGATCACTGACGCTCTCAGGGGTGAGTCATCCCTTACGGGAGCTGACGTCTGGCCTCCCTCCAAGCCAGGATCAGTTCCCCTTCCCAGCCAAAGGAAATAAATCCCATGGCAATGCGATTCGTCACAACTCCAAATCAAGGTGATGAGGCATAAAAGGTAGAAGTCCAGATGGAATGCCAAGAAATTAGAAGCAGCTTAGCATTTCCTACATGAGAAAACAGATAAACCATGGTCCTATCTTCTGCTGGTGCTAAGCAGTACACAGAGCAATGCTGCAAGTTGAGCTATAAATACTCTGTGCCTTTCAAAAAAAAAAAAAAAAAAAGAAGAAAAAAAAGGCCTGAATTTTTGTCTTCGGTATTTTCTGTTCTTACACTAGTTAAGGAACACTTTTAAACAATTACATTAAGGAAAACCAAGATGCTTACTTGACAGCCTCTGCTACATTATTGGAAGTGTGACCTGATAAGGCATCGTGAAGGTTTCTGATGAAGTAATCCCTGTAGTCTTCAGGCAGGGCCATGAACGTTCCACCCATCACAATGAACTCTACTTTATCCACGCTGTGGCCCAACTGCTTCAGCTGTAAAGTTAAAAGTACCGGGGAAAAAATTACCAATCAGGGACTTCTCTGAAAACTGGGACATTCTTATACCACATTTCCTTCTTTAGTTGTCGTATCTCTTACGTATGAGGAACCATTAATACTTCTGTACAGATTTCTTACAATTCCCCACCCAAAACCCTCCAAAATTCTTTTTCTAATTGAAGAACATAGTACAAATATTGAGCCCAGCATAACGAGTTTTCTTGACAAAGCAGAATTATTTGAGCCTAGCATCTTGCTGATGGAGTTACACTGGTTCCAGTTTGAAGCTAGCTTAGATGAGGCCAGTAGGAAAAGTTTCCTCACATCTGCTTCAATCCATGTATAACTAACTTTCCTTAAGAACTTGTGGGAGAAAAGGACTATACTGAATCCATGGAGAACTTTCCAACGGATTTGGAGATAAACAGGAAACCAGTCAAAGCAGAACAGGATTGAGAAACTCTTCAGATCTAATTCTCCAGCGGAGACCCAAAAAAAATTCATTTTGATAGGAAAGTCACTATTTCAGTACTAAATTCTGCATGTAAATAATCATCAAGAACGAGCAACTGCCACAAAAGTTCAGTATATTTTTGTAATAGGATCTCCTATCAGTAATCAGGTATTGTAATATCTTATAAGAGGTTCCAAACTTGTCATTTATCGAATGGAGTGACAGTTCGACAACTAAAAGGTTTTAAAATTATTTCTCTATGAGAATCAAGTCATGATTCTATAACGCTACATTAGACTGAAACGTTGAAGTTGGAAGAGACCTCTGGAGATCACCTTGTCCATCTCTCTTCTCAGATCAGCATCAGCTAAAGCAGTTTGCTCGGCACTGTGTCCAGACAGGCTCCGAGTATCTCACAGGATGGAGACCGCACAACCTCTCTGGGCAACCTGGTCCAGCACTTGGTCACTCTCACTGTTAAAAACTGTTTCCTGATGTTCAAATGGAATTTCTGATGTTTCAATTTGTGCCCATTGCGTCCTGTCCTGTTCTGTCACTGGGAACCACTGAGGAGAGCCAGGCTCCATCTTCTTAGTGTCTCCCATCAGGAATTTATACACATCGGTGAAATTCCCCCAAGCCTTCTCTTCCCCAGCCTAAACAGTCTTGGCTCAGTGTCTCCTTGGATGCTCCAGTCCCTTCATCATGTTAGCAGCCTTTTGCTAGACTTGCTCCAGTATGTTCATGTCTGTCTTCTTCTGGGGAGCCCAGAACTGGACACAGTTCTCCAGATGGGCCTCACCTTGACCTGCTGGCAACACTCCTCCTAATGCAGCCCAGGAGGCCGCCGGCCTTCTTTGCCTCAAGGGCACAATGCTGCTCATGGTCAACTTGGTCTCCACCAGGACTTCCAGGTCCTTTTCTGTCAAGCTGCTTTCCAGCTGGTCAACCCCAAGCACATACCGGTGCCTAGGGTCGTCCCTCCCCAGAGGCAGGACTTGCCACTGCCCTTTGTTGAACTTCAAGAGATTCCTGCCAGCTCATTTCTCCAGCCCGTCCGGGTCCGTCTGAATGGCAGCACAATCCTCCGGTCTATCATCTGCTCCTCCCAAATCTACATCATCTACAAACTTGCTGATAGCATGCTCTGTCCCAACACCCATGTCATGAACAGAGAGGTCGGCCCCAGGGTCCACAGCTGGGTTGTATCACTAAAGACTGGCCTCCAGCTGGACTTCATGCTGCTGATCACAACCCTTTCAGCCCACCAATTCAGGCAATTAAAACCATTCTCATTATTTTAATCACAACGTGTTCCCCTTTCACTGTAAAAATGTACCTGTTCCACTCTGTGTCTTGTCTGGAGATAGGGGTCATATCTAGCCCGAATGGCCCTCATGGACGTTGGCTAAAAAACAGAAGGAAATTCAGTTTGTACACTTTTTTTAAGAACACAGTGAAAAAGAACAAAAGACAACTTTTAGCGTTGAAACGGATGCTAAAGTCTTCAAATCCTAATGGACCCTAAAGTCTTCAAACTCACAACCAAAGAATCCATCCAACTATAAATTTGAATTTGGCTCCTGAATTTTTTTAAAAAATTACAACAAAACACTTTTTCTCTGAAATGGTAATACGATATAAAAAGAATGACAAAATTGTTCAAATTTTCAGTGCATCACAACAGGATGGATAAAGAATCTCTGCAGTGATTTGCAAAAGATATTGCAAAAGTCCCCAACAAAATGTTCTTCAGAATAACAGTTCTTCTGTTCCATGCATTTCAGGCTTTCTTCACTTGTACCACAGTTATCCAAGGAGCAACCTCTAGAGCTCAGTCTAAACTTAAAATATTCTTTAAGCTCAACATATTCTTTCAACTGAAATCTCTAACCACTTTTTATGTTACTACCTGATGTAAGCCTATTAGTAATACCCTAAGATAATGGTTTCGCGTATCTTGCGTATCTTGGATTTGTTTAGTATTTCATATTTGTTCTATTAAAAGCTCTAAAGAACGAGGACTGTTCTGGTCATGCACAGCTCCTGCATGCTGTTAGTACTAAACAAATGAATACAACATATCCAAACCAACATGAGTTATCAAGAAGTTACATATAAACAGGATTTTCCTACTTTGTACTAACAGGGCAAGTTTGAAGTCACTGGAAAGTGGGTAACAACAGACAAAATCCATACTAAAAGTACGCTGCATCTGTTTACCAAATTAATCCAGTTTGTATTTTACCTCATTTTACTACTTTACATCTGTACTATAGCTATGAGTTGTTTTGTTAAAACCAGTCACAATAATTTAGTCACAACAAGATCTTCCGCTGTTAAACTTTCTCCAGACACAGGAGAGCACAATTTCAGAAATATATATATATCTATTTAGTGAGATATCACTGCAGATACAGAGACATAAAAGGGCACGGATGTAATTTCAGAGGCACTAACAGCTAAATAATCAGCTTTCTTCCCAAGCTTGACCTTTGTTAATCCGTAGCGTCCTGTAGGTTGGACAGAACTGAAAGCAGGTCCAGTTAGGGCAGGATGCTCAGGACTGTGTCCAGCCAGTGTTCGACCATCTTTAAGGATAAAGATCACAAAAATCTCTCTAGATCCCCACTAAAGTGTTTGATGACGAGAATGCAAAAATATTCTTATATTAAGGCACAAGTTTCCACATTCTAATTCATGTTGGTTACCTCTCATCTTTCCACTGGGCAGCTCTGAGAAGAAGTCTGGTTCTGCCTTCTCTGTACCTTTCCCTTAAAGCAAGTCACTTGCCCTGCTCAGGATCACAGGCTGCTCACTCCTGCTCTACAGCGTATCACACGTATGACGGTATAAACAGTAGCAAGGTGAGGAGAAAGAAACAGCAGGTACAGTAATTAAGAATTTCCAGTCCTATAGTTGAGCTGCTTTAGATCTGGAAATTTATGAAGACTGCTTTGGGTTTTATTCTTGCAACATGGGTGAATTTGTAAAAATAAAGATCTGCCTAACCCAAGTTTATAATGTGTTATGGCAGACAGAAGTAATACCTCATATCCAGTGTAAGACTGTGTTGAATATTCAAAATCAGAATCAGGTCCACCTGGGCAGTATCTGAAAACATTAAAAACAGAACACAGGCATCAAACTCGTACAATTGCAATGACTTAACGTGTCTGTCTGAGGTACGGGTACACAAGAGGGTGCAGGCTGAGCAGACACTGCTCTAACTACCCCACCTCTCATCAGAAGCGCAGGGAAACACAGATTCGAGACAGCCTGACCACAGCACCGTGCCAACTGCTCTCCTGGTACTTGGGAGCTCTCATACAGGCTAAAACAAATCCACAAAAGGAAGGCCTGACTAGCTCAAGCACTACGGTACCTTAACACTGTAATACAGCTTCTAGACTAAAGCTGGCTCATGACTGGTCAGCTGACAGCGCGGGATGAGGAATGAATGAATGAATTCCTGTGTTTCTGCATCAGCCAACGTAAATATAGGTACAGACCCAAAGGCACGTGCTGGAGAGAGGGATTCCATGATATCCAGTAACACTGAGAGGAACTGAGCCTATGTATGTTTACAAATGCTAAGTGTACAGTGCAAAACAGTTGTTTCATTTAATTTTAATGAGAATGGGGTGTCAAAAAACAGTTCAGACCTGTCAAATGACTACAGCCACATAAAACAACTTGATCAGACTTACTAGAAGCAAAATGTACTGTGAACACGTTTCTGGAACATGGCATTCTCTTAGGGTGCTGTTTACAGCTTTGGAGTAATAGTTACATACAGATTATTAGATTTTTAAAAGTAATTTTACAGTCATAAAAAATTTAAGTATTTTCCACCATTCTATCAAAAACATCAACTCATTTGACATAAAATGTGATTTTTGTTTGGCACGGAAAGACATAGAGACATTACCCTGTTACACAATCTCCATTTCTTTTCTAGAAAAAATTTATAGAATTTAACTATCTTGATGGGGAGAACACTAATTTACATTTGTTTTCTGAACTTAAGAACATGTTATTTGATGAATATAGCATTCTAAGATTACTTCAAAAGAACACAGTCCATCTACTCTGCATAACTGTAGGGTAGTTTGGTATCAAATTACAGTTTCTGTGTCCAGAGGCTTGTTTGAAACTCTTATTCCGTGGCACAGCAAGACAGACTTGCTGCTATCACCGCATGGCTGCTAGCCAAGAGAGGAACAGTACGTAGCAGATAGTAAATAAAAAGAATATAAATTTATTCTGAAGGGTCCTTAGCTTTCTTTCGAGGTCTGTGGGATTAATCTACAGTCATTCTGTGCTCAAAGACGACCTGGGTTGACAACCCCTTCAGCTTTAGCTGCAGGCACTGCGCACCTCCAACAGACAAGGTAATCGAGCTGTCAGTGCATCGTTACTTACAGCGCAGATCTCACATGCACAAACTAAGATAATGCCATCTCTATCAATCAGACATGTTCGGTTCACAGTATAATTGATTAGTTTCCTCACTGTCTGCCCTGCAAACTCAACCCAAGTCATCTGTCACCATTATAAAATTAATTACCATATTACCATGGCCAAATTAATTTGCTGGCAAAATTTGTGCAATCCAAGTGAAGACATTTCATATTCATAATTACCTGGAACACCTCAAACGCACTATCTGCTCATGTGAAAACAAGAACAGAGCCAGCTCGCTCTCTGTTAGGCAGCTGGTAGTGAATCACACTGATATTTCAGGAGTGACGAGGTGGGAAAGGGAAGCAACGTTTCGAAATAGAAGAACTGATGCGGTTAGAAAAAAAAGCAGATGAGATTTCAGGTGCACAGACTCTTAAGTCAACCAGAGGTAACATAATTCAAGGTAAACCCAGCCTGGGTTTCTCAATTCAAATGAACTCAGAAGCTATTCCCTTAAGGCCACAAGCTCCTGGCAGCTGGAGGCATTCCCATCCATCTGTGCTCTCCTTTCACTCCAGAGCCAGGCAGAGCCAGACTGTCACATGGAGCAAGTTTGCGCAGACACCGCCTGCACCTCCTCAGGTGGGTCTCAGCGCAGCAGTTTTCAAACTCTTCAGATTGAGCCCTGTTTCTTCTCTGTAACAGCCTTCTCCAGTCTGCCGAGGTACTCAGCCACGTGCACAGCACGCTCGCACACCCTGACACAGTAACACAACTTACATTTGATTATTAACACATTCTCCTGGTTACTATATTCACAGAAGTGCGTATGTATCTACTAAAGGTAAGCAGGCTTTGGCCAACAAAAGAAAAAGGTGTTGTCCTCGAAGAAAAACTGACAAGTAGATGTTTTTAAATGTAACGTGCAGGTATCAGCAATCTGCGACTTTGCGCTTGTGCGGAAAGGAAGCTCATCCCCGACACAATGCTACTGCAACACTAGATTTATACAGAAAAACCGGAACACAGTCCTCTTAGGGCATCTAAGCTGTCATACTTACACACATATGTTGCCCGTAAAGTTAATGTGGGGACACCTGTGCGGTTTACACATCACTGCAACAACAGCAATCTGCAAGAAACAAAGTTGCAGAGGAGAAAAATTATAGTAATTGCTTCTGAAGTTACTAAAGCGCATCTTAGAAGGCCACGTGTACATGTGCATCTATGAGAGACTATTTAAAGGTGTTTTCTGCTTAGTCTGCCACCTAGAATATCTATGCATTAACTCTTGAAGGAAATTAAAAAAAGCATCAAGAAATAGGAATCCTATTATTTAATATTTTCACAATTCAGAATAAACTGGCAGCATATTATAAAGAATCAGATTTGGTATAAGACACCTGGTTAAGCACCTTGCCGAAGAGATGCAGACTGACATTCAGCTATGCCCTCAGACCATCTAAATTGCATCTAAACCAGTGCAGGGGTGAGAGCGTGCCACCCGGCATACCCAACACCACTTGGAAGATGAAAATGGGGGAAGAGATGAACAGAAACAAAAAGATATAAACCAAAGATAATAAAACTAGCTTCTGCCCTCCACCTAACTGAGCAAAGCCTTTTTTTTCTCCCCAGGCTGGTCTCAGACAGCTTTTCACACATTAAATGCAAGCACAATGTAAGATGCTATCTTCTTTTTTGAAAGGGACCAGATGGAAGAAGAGACAGACGTGCTAAGATTTTGTAGCGTCTGCTAATTTGGGGCACCCAACTTGGAACACCTCACTTCCAGTTGTCAGAAATCCTGGTTGGACTAAGAGTTTAATGAGATACTCTGTGGCTAGAAAGAAGAAATTAAAGAAATTAAGGGGTTTTTTTTTGGGGGGGTGGGTTTTTTATTTGTGGTTTTGTATGGGTTGGTTCGGGTTTTTAGTTCTAAAAATGGAACACTTCCTGGGATTTTGGTTTCTGGTTTGGTTTTTGCCGTTAGTAACTTGAGTTTAGGCGTGCTATACATACAGTAGGGAAGCTTAAAAACACACAGCTGCACGTTAGCTGTACCTCTCCTCCTGTTTTCAGCCTGAACTACCTTTGAAAGAAACAAGTTAAATACTAACATTTTACCTTTGCTCACTGAGAGGGCCTGGAGATGAAGCTGCACTGTTTCTACAGCAACTAAAAAGCAAGACACGCTGCTCAAACAAAATCTCTGCATCTCCTCTTTCTCTTCTCCCAAATGCTTTGAAAGCAATAGCCCTGCGGGCACATCATCCCAGAAAAGGCAACCTGGAAGCTGGCAATGCAGCCAGCACACCTGTATTAAAGTTTCTGGACAGTTAATATCCTGGTCTTTGAAAATAATTAAATACAATTTATCGATGAGAGCAGAGGAGGACTGTAGGGAATGGAGATAACGATGTACGTGCTTACCCCGCTAGCAGTTCTTATTGGCTTGGCCTTCAGCTTTGGTACCAGCACCTTGCGGTACTGTGGCGGAACAGCAGCAATGATGTCAACCAAACGCGGCTGCGCTGAAAGTCCATACTTTGCTGACGTCTTGGTTTTCAGCCTGAAAGCAGAAACACCTCAAATTAACAACTCCATTCTGACTTGCATACCTATATTCCACAGCTGTGCTATCACATTACTGTTCAGTTACAAGGAGATCTAGGTAGGCTCTCCCAATTTGCCTTTCCAGGTAACTTAAAAGTAATTTCTTGCAACAGGGGCATTGCGTATTAAGATACAGAAAATAAATTCCAAATAATGTTGATATGCAACAACTGCCAATTTTTTTAGTTTCGGTGTATTTTTCTTCTAAATATGGTTTTATCCAAACATTGTGAAAGCTGCCCGCAGACTCTGGTTTATCAGTTTTCAGTAATTTAATTCTTTTCATACAATCCCAGACTGGTTTGGGTGGGAAGGGACCTCAAAACTCATCTAGTTCCATCCCCTGCCATGGGCAGGGACACCCTCCACTAGCCCAGGTTGCCCAAAGCCCCATCCAACCTGGCCTTGAACACTGCCAGGGAGCCAGGGGCAGCCACAGCTTCTCTGGGCACCCTGGGCCAGGGCCTCAGCACCCTCCCAGGGAAGGATTGCTGCCTCCCATCCCATCTCCATCTCCCCTCCTGCAGCTTCAGGCCATTCCCCTTGGCCTGTCCCTCCCTGCCCTTGGCACCAGCCCCTCTCCAGCTTTTCATGTCTTCCATGAGATTAACCCCTACATACACAGACTCTAGCCAAGTTCATTTCTCAGACATTCATGTCAGTTATTTCCAGCATCAGCAAAAAGTTTCCAATTATATCGTGTAAATGAAACAGAAACAGTGGGAGAAATTCAGGTTTTATTATTCCACATATGTAAAGAAGGAAAAACTTTCTATAAACAGCAACTTCATTTATAACACATTGCTAAGAAAACTTGATTTAAACTTTATCGCTGAATTAACCTCTCCTTGCCCTGATGGAACTGACTTTGGGACCACTGAAGGATGAACACAGGTGGAAACACAAAAAGACAATGACAATTTTCTTAAGAGTTTTTCACCAGTACAACCCATTTTGTACTCTAAGCATTGCCAGTGAAGTACCAAGTCATGATTTCAAACCGCCACACAATTTACAAATCTTGGTGATGGTTTTTAATCAGATAACAGTAAGAGAAATGACAGTAACCTGCAAAAATAAAACATTTTAAAATAAAGCCTGAATATAAGAGACTGCACAGGACACGTTCATCACTGGTGGAGCAGCTCTTGTGTCATCCCAGAGTGACTTACTTGTTCAGATTCACATCTTTTCCCTGCTCGTGAGCTTCAATTAATTGCTTTATGATGTCAGCTATCGTCATCATCATCAGCTCTGCATGGCTGAGGTCTCCTGAAACGGGAACAAAACAACAAGCCGCGTGTATAGCCAGTGCTTTCTTAACCACTTTTGTGACAGTCGAGGTGCATCTGCTCTGCAGTTCATTTTCAGTATTTCCTACAGTCGTTGCCTACAGAGGGAATTTTGCCACTGCGTATCACTCAATTTGCAGCATTCCCCTGAACAAATGACAGTCACCACCTCACATCGCTGCTTTTCTTTTACTTCTAGGATAAACTCCGCCTTTGTACGTCAGAGGAATCCACAACAGCTAGAAATAAGTCGCTGGAAGTTAAAGACAATTAGTAGACTAGTCTGACTCCACCAGAACACGTGGCAAGGGACAGAACGTGTTTTGAGAAGGACGGTGGGGCAAGCCAAAGGAAGAAGTCAGCTCTATGAACTCCTCTTCATCACAGAGAGGGTACGCCACTGCGTCAGGCAGTGTATCAGTGCCTTAAAGCTTCCCTGCTGCACAGTATACACTGTATACATTGCTTAAATACCAGTTTTGGAACATCAAAACAATGTGCTTCCTAACAACAATGTGCATTCCTTTCACCTCGCACAGCTCTGTCTACACCAGCAAGCGTTGGGACAGTAAAACATACACCCCAAACTTGTCAGAAAACCCACTAGCAGGGACACAGCTGGGTGCACAACTGCTCCAACAAGTTTTTGTTCACAACAGCTGTGCTGAGATCCCACCTGGGAGAAGCACAGCAGCGACACTCCCAGCTGGTCTCTGCAGACAGTTTTGTGGGACAGTCTGTACCACTGCCAGTCCCACACTGCCCTGCATCGTCTCTGCTGCCCC